CAAACAAACAAAAAGCTATTCGCTACCTCCTTTATTCCGCTTTCATTCCGGGTCTTTTAGCACACCTGTCCTGTCCCAGAGAGCAGTTTACCTCGTAAAGAGGTACACCGCCGCTAAACTCAGCCGCCTGGCCCAAAAGAATCAGAGTCCTAAACCCCGCTATGTGCACTCCACCTTCTCCGTCTCTTCCCTCATCCAGCTCCCCACCACTGTCAGGGCATGGGAAAAAAAGAAGTCTAAACTGCTCGCTTCCCTTTGGAACTATCAAAATAAAATCCCCATCCATGTTATTGCGTCTTTATTGCGCAGTTGTGACCGCTTTTCTAGGGTTTTAAAAAATAAAATACAGCCTGAAGTTTTTTTTTATGTGATTCTAATGTTTGCAGATGGAGAGAGGGCAAAGGGAGGGCTCGTTATCCAGTAACGTTAGCTAGCACTGGTTAATTAGTTACATGCAGTTAGAATAGAGTGTATACTGCAGTGTAGCTACAGTGTAGCACATTCAATGCAATGTCTACAGTATTTATGGCAATACACTGACATTTCACATCACTGCATGAGCAAGCCTTCTTGATAGGAAAAATATATAATAATAATAATAATAATAATAATAATAATAATAATAATAATAATGATAATAATAATAAATAAGACAGGGTACACTTTAAAACTAAATCTGTTAGAGATCTACTGTGGGCTCACTGTAAATGTACTGTGTGATATGCAGTACTGTCTGATGTGCAGAAGTCTAAAGCCACCCCTCATTTCTTTATATTTGCTTCCAGTGAGCCACACTCTTTGAACACACCTTAAAAGTGGTCTTGAGCCAAAGTTCTCGCGACTCTCTGAAGGTCTTTTCTCTTTGGACATTGGATGCTTTTTCATTCATTTTCAGAGGAGTGTTTTTGTTCTTGTTGTTAAGCCACTTCACACTGACCTAATCATTCAGGCATAAAAAGTCACCCAACAGACAACTTAGCAAAGATTGTGTCTTTTGGGACTTTGTTACAAGCAGCCTGTAACAAAAACAGAATTTATTTTTAGCTCCACAAAATCGGTGTGTTCTTAAAAAATGGAGGGAAATGAACAAGTGGAGGACAAAAGAAGAAATGGGCTGGAAAAAAAGTGTCTCCCACAAGTGACAGTACTTATATGTGTTGTATTACCCTGTATATTTGTATGCGTATTCCCATTTGTCTAGCCAAAATACAAAGAAATGAGGGGTTGCACAAGACGTCTAAGCAGCACAGTGTGTACTGCTACAGATAAACAAGCACACAGAATAATATGACACTGATTTTTGTAGAGTGTGAATTGACCAGATTTTGAACCCTTTTTTTCATTTTCTGCTTCTCAATAAAACACGAAAGCTGTCTGTGTCTCAATACTACAATACTACAATTCAATACTAAAAATAATATAACTGCTCGTTAAAACGCAAAACCACGTCTCCTTTCATTATTACAATAACATGCTTTTATATTAAAGGGGAAGTTTTGACTTTTCCGGTCTTTCTCTGGCTAATTTATAGCGGCTTGATGCTACTTTCATACCAATGTCCACGAAACCTCGACAATTGGGTGTATTCTGCGCATGCGTGGCTTTTCTAGCGCAGCGTGCACTCAGTCCTGCTCTTATTTACCTTGCCTGATGGGGTGTAGTTCGTAAACGCTACGGCCAATGTGTGTACCAAGGATTTTACAGCAGTTTTCAGAGTGCAATTTTTTTTTCCAATAGCAGAAATTATTCCTTAAAACTACCATCTGTTAAATTCCTGTTCCAGAGCTGCAGTGCGTTCAGTGCCCACCAGATACACTGTCCAGAAAATACAGTTACATAGAAAAGGTTGCATACAGGACCTTAAACAGGATACAAGTATATCCCCTTATAATTTAACCCGGATCACTGAAAACATTCTTAATCCACAGAGTCAGTGCTGCCATCCTGCCAGTGTGCCTCTCTGCATGCAGCAATTCCCTCTGTTACTAATTATTACTCTTCTCATTAGCGTCTTTTCTCTGTCCAGAGACCCATGGCCTCTACGTATCCAGCGAACTATCTCGTTGAACTTGGCAGTTCTTGGAGCTGCTTGGTTAAATTTAGTGCTGTGAAATTAGAGTCCTATGACCTATGAGGGCTGCAGTTAAAGGAATACTGCAGCTTAACCCCCAAATTAAAAGGCTCTTATTGTTGCCCCTTTTTAACTTCATGGAAAGTCACAGCAACCTACAAATCAAGGCAACAGTCCTCAAATGGGGAAAATACATGTATGGGTAAAAAAATGACTATCGGACCCCTGAAGAGAGCTCATCCACCAATCAAGTACAATTTTAAAGTTGATCCTTGGCCAGGTTTTATTTGGTAGAGGTGGGTGGATTGATCCAAATATCGAGAGCATCGATACCAATGCTGATGTTGGTGCTTGAGCAATGCTGGCACGATATGATCAATAGTTTGTTTCTCTAATCTAAGTTCAGTATGTAGCCCACAGAACATTGCTCTGTGAAAAATCCCTGAACCTTTTTATGTTCACTGTCACATCTATTTTATTTATAGCACACTTAAACAACAGAAGCTGACCCAAGGCGCACATTTACATTCCAGGTCTCCAGGTCCAGGAATATGATATTGTCTGGTGCACAGACTATCTATGTTGGCTTATTTTTTTAAACATGGATACATAACTGGACAAACATTTATACCAGGTCATTGCCTTGAGGCGACATTTGTTGTGATTTGGCGCTATATAAATAAAATTGAATTGAATTGAATTGAATTGAATTGAATTGAATTTAATACACAGGTATTTAAATTAATGAAAAACACTTAAGACTCTTTATTGTCATTGTGCAAGCATAACAATATTACACGTATACTGCCTCACATAGCGCACAAATTTAAATAACAGATACATATACTAACCAAAAAAGGTACAAAAGAAGTATATATATAAGGAGTACATACATATATATGCATTTATCAAGATCTGCTCCTTTTTCATAATAAAAATGAAACCTTAATGAATACTTTCAGCCTGGTTTACTGTCGCCTTCATTGACAAAAATGAAGACAAGGTTTCGTTAAAACACAGCGAGACAGTGCTGAGTGAAACATTACCTATAGTCATGCAATTTGTTTTTAAACAGATGACTGAAGTTATGATGTACTTTTTAAAAAAATGCTGTGATGATTTACAACAGTCCCTGGTTTGCTGAAGATAAGGATTCATCGCAGGTCAGGATTAAACATTTAAACTGTTTAGGTTGGCTCACCTCCAGATCCTACCAAATATTAACTCTGCTTGGAGAAGGGTCTTATGGCACAGTTACAAATGTGTCGGAATGGGCCCCCAAAACCTGTAGCCATTAAAATAATGAAACTTGGAAACTGAAAAGACCCGTTGGAAAACCAAGAGGTAAAAACTGCTGCCTAGAATTTCAGTTAGAAAGATTTGTGGAGTCGATGTAAGGACTGTGATGAAATGCCCATAAAATGTTTATTTCTGTTAAACTAATGTAAAAACCATCTGTAGCCTATTTTTCTAGCTCACTACTAGAAAACTTAACGCCTGTAACTCCAACAAACACAACATAGTTGAATGGTACCAGGCTTCTACAGACAGTGGATGTCTATGTCTTGAGTTTGAATATCTTGAAAAAAAGTCTTTTCGACTTTATGACAGAAAGAAATTTCACACCGCTGAGATACATAATGGAGACCCATGGACAATGTTAAACTGACTGCCCAGTTTTTCTGCAGAGAGTTAAATTCCTGCAACAACCACTCTAGGTAAACTCAAGGTTCACCACTGCTCTGGTTAATCCTGTATACCAGTCTTTAAACTTATAAGCATATTACTTATTTTCTAACCTTTGATTTTTAATGTATTGTAAAACATAAATTTTGTGCTGCCCATTTGTCCAGTGTGCTAACAAGTTTCTCTATCTTTTCAGACAGCTAAATAATATTTCCAAGAGTTTGGGATTCAGTTCTTGGACAAAAGAACTTATTTCTGTGGCGAACATAACACATGCAAATAAAAAAGTATCTAGAAGTGCTGAAGGATATAAATAATCAGGGGTATAGTGAAATAAATGACATTTTGATCAATTAAAATTGCACTCTTCATCCATCCAAATAGCATCCATCTAAAATGTACCAGAAAGCTGATTCTGCTACTGACTTTTGCCTTAAGCTTCTTGTACCCCAGATACTGTGACTCTGCTACCGTGGTCATTTGGTGTCTGATCCAAGCATGCCACATTTGACTGGTCTACATAGCATCCGTGCCATATGGCAGAAAACTTACAGTGTCGTGCCCCCCGCCCCCACAGTCTGAGCTTTTATTTTTAATCAATTAGTTAATGACATTTTAAAAAAATATATTTTGAGAAATTTGTTGTTCAGGAGCAGAAAAAAATATCAGAAACTTCTCATTGCTGTATTTACATATGGGGAAAATGCTCCCAGATCAGTCAGAGTTCTTTTGAAGACCTGAAACAGTTTAACAGCAGGTAAAAATGCTAATGTGTATCAGACTGTATGTGTCTAACTTCTACAGTTTCACTGTTGCTGTTATATTGCTGGCAGCTATTGGCTGTCTACATGTTGCATATGCATATTGGGATTTTCACTCACCGATACAAACAGCATTGTATCACAAAAAAAAGTTTACCCACTAGCAGCTAAGTTCTGCAGTTATTTATGTTCTGTGAAAAAGACACTACAAGGCTGTGTTTTTAAGCTATAACATATAGATCGATAGAGATGAACGGCCTCTCATAAACAGACTATTTTTATATAAATAGAACCTGACGATTGTCGATTCTATTTTTTAAATAATATATATATATAATGAAAAACAAATCAGCCTCATTTCACTCATATCTGTCCTCCACCTGACAATTTTCCGTCCCAATTGCCGCCCTCGCTTGACCAATCAGATTCGAGCTCGCGCTTTCGTGAAAACCAATGAGGGCGCGGCTTCCGTCCGGCAGTCCGAGTGGATGCCGGGATAAAAACTTAGCAGTGGCGCTTGGGAAAGTTTCGGGAAGAGTAGGAGGGAGGGGACTTGGGAGTGGAAGTGTAGTAACCCGACAGCGAGCATGACCGACGCCGAGGCGCAGAGCGCTCCACCATCGGCACCGGTGGAAGACAAACCACAGCCGGAGAGGAAAGTTATAGGTGGGTGTAGAAGTACTCTATTCGCCAAGATTTCTTGGTAAATATCCAGAAAACGTTTAAAGTTAGCGCCTTCTGACCGAGCCTCGGTGTGAAAAACAGAATGTGTGTGTGTGTGTGTGTGTGTGTATATTTTACCCTTCCTTCTGTGATATTTATTGAAGTGTGTGATCCAAGCTGGTTGAATTGCTGTTAATTACAGAAGGCTGGGGTGCCACTGCTGTCTCCGGTGTGGTACTTTTTAGGCAACACGTGTTTGAGGCTGAGTTTTTCAGGTTTTTGTGGGGACTATATTCCAAAAAAAGAAGTTATTTGACTGTCACACATATTGACTTGTAAAGCTCACGCCTAATAATAAAAGGCCTCGAGGGCACAGGTGCTTTTTCAAAAAAAAAGTTTTCCCCACATGTCAGTCCAGTGGCTGCCTCTGGTTTAATCACAGATATTTGTGTTTGTGTAGGTATGGAGCTGATTCAGACTGTATAGAAGTCCATGTTAACCGAACACTTTGAACGCATGACCCAATTTTTCTTCTTTATCAGCTGTCGTTCACGCGCTTAGTAAGCGAAACACGCGCACGCGCTCCCCCAGCTGCAAATCATTGCTGAAGGAAATTTGGTCAAATTAAACGAGTTTAGACTGCCGTAAAACACAAAAACGAGCCGGCTTTGAGCTTGTCTCTGTGAGGAAGAATACATCTTTCAGGTGTCCGTGTTACTCGTCTTGAACTCCTTAATTGTCAGAAGTGTTCCCATGTCGCCTCGTGACCTAGGGCAGGCCTGGTTTCAAAGTCTTGCGGTTAATGATTGATCCATAGAGCTCCCACTTGCGAGCAGGTCACCGCTGATGTAATCAAGATAACGGTGTGAGCTCTAAATGACTACTTGCTCTATAACACTTCCTTATTCTTTGATGTGCTCTTGTTGTAGCCACTTTGGTCCAAGGCACAGTGAAATGGTTCAATGTGCGTAATGGGTATGGCTTCATTAACAGGTAAGGTGTTTTTAATTATTCTCCCTTATTTTTGTAGTATTCCTAACTTAAGTCAATTGTTTGCCAATGAAGTTTTATTTCTTGCAGGAATGACACCAAAGAAGACGTATTTGTTCATCAGGTAAGGTTTTTCTTTTTCTTCTTCATGGGAGTTAATTGTACCCACATTTTTAATGCTAGCCATGTCTCCTCAGACAGCAATCACGAAGAACAATCCCAGGAAATTTCTCCGCAGCGTTGGAGATGGGGAAATTGTAGAGTTTGACGTGATTGAAGCAGCTAAGGTATGGCAGGGACAAAATGTGACATTTTCGGCTGTTTAAAAAAGGTATAAAAAGCTGCTCTTGGAGAAAGCATTTCAGGCATGTCTCTGTTCCGAAGGGCTCCGAAGCAGCTAATGTTACCGGTCCAGGTGGTGTTCCGGTGAAAGGAAGCCGCTATGCGCCCAACAAACGGCGATTCCGTCGACGGTTCTTTCCCCGAAGCCCTCGGCCCGGCGACCAGAACAAACCAGCCGATGGCCAAGGTCCTGATACTGACAGATCGGGAGAGAGTGAGGGAGCGAGGCCTCAGCAACGCCGCCGTAGGCCGCGCAGGCCACGGCAGGAGACACAAGATGTAAGCTAAAGCGGAAAGATGGGCGTGAGGGAGACTACAACCTTTAGGATGAAGCTGGACATAGAGATGGATTGAAGTAGTTGAAAGCTTATGTTGTGTTAATGGTCTTTTGTCTGTTTTTCCAATTTAGGGTGAAGTTGGCGAGCAGAAGGATGGAGATGAAGAGGGTGGTCAGACACAGAGTGATCAGACACAGAGTGATCAGACCCAGCGGCTGCCACGACGCAGATTCTGGCGCCCATACCGCAGGTAGCTTAACGGTCCTGCTTAGATATCCTGTTTGAAGGACTTCTTGATTCTTGAGGCAATTTAATGTGCTTTCCTCGGATTCAGGCCATTCCGTCCTCGCCCACCTCCCAATCAGGCTGTAGAAGACCAGCAGGCGGCTGCACCAGCAGAGAGCCTGGAGAAGAGTGAGCTAAAGCAGCAGCCGCAGCCCGAGGTGGCGGTGGCGGCGGTACCTGACAGCCCTCAGACCAATGGAGAAGCAGGGGAGGGCGAAGGCCAGAAACAACGCCGCCAGTTCAGACGACGCAGGCAAAGGAATTCAGAGTCCTCTGTCTCCAAAGTAAGATATTTATGATCTTCAGCTATATCAAGATCACTCAGTGAGGAAATTATGCACAGATGAGCTGTTAGTGATGTTTGGGGAGGAAAAGATCAGTACCCACATGAGCTTATTTTTTCACTGCCAAGCTGTCCTGGTCACAGAAAACTATTATCAGAAGATATTAAGGCTCTAATGCAAGCAGTAAAATGCTGAACACTTATCGTCACCATGCCCGGCGGATGGGCTGGCGGGTGAAACGCACCTAAGTTTGAATGCAAGAATGAGGTGATGAAATAATAATAATAATGGATTGCATTTATATAGTGCTTTTCGGGACCCTCAAAGCGCTTTACAAAACACTGGTGGAGGCAAACTACAGTTGTAGCCACAGCTGCCCTGGGGCAGACTGACAGAAAGGATACCATGGGTGTGTCTACAAAAATCTTGTACAAGTTCAAATCTCAGGGACCTTGACCTCAAGGTCAGAGGTCATGTTTTCTCTAAATCACCCAGGATTTTCAAATTTATAACTTGGTTGCATCTGATAAGAGGCTGGGGAGGGCAGCACTGAGAGCCGCCACCATTTTTAAATATACTTGTACTGTAAATGTTTTTGTATATTTTACAGTCAATGTGTGTTATTCTCATTGGATTTAATTTGGATTTGAGTGGAAAAACTACAGTTCACCTCATCTGAAAATATGCCTGAATGACAATGAAAATCCTTAAGTCCCTGTAATATTTATACTGTCTAGATGGTAGACAGGAGTCTAACTATTAGGTGAATTTCTATGGTTTTGTGCCTGTATGATGGTTTAGCTGGATCTTCTGAAGTTCTAAAGCTTTGGTATTTTACTAATATTTTCATGTCTTTTCCATGTATTGAAGAATGATACAGAGAAGTCTGCATCAGAGCCTGGCACCCCACCACAGACCTCAAAGCCATCTGATACGAAACCCACATCAAAGTCGCCAAAGACCTCTCCCAAAATCTCCCCCAAAACGGTAAAATTGCCTGAGGTAAGACATTAAAGTTGCTCTTTGCTTTTCCAGCTGGTTCATTTTTCATTGGTAGGTGTTTTGTTGACAAATTTCAGCTGTGTTCTTCCCTTCAGCAGGCAGCGCCAACAACTGTCCCAGCACCAGCAGAGTGATGACCACGAGGATGGTCACACGACCCTTGGCAAGAGGTGGGACCCCACACTAAAGTGGCGCAACCTTGGATTAGACAGGGTGGGAGACGTGAGGGTGTAGGGTTGCACTTCTTGTGCTGCATGTGCAACATTAGCAGTCGGTCACAGAGTGCCTGATGATGGACATTAACTCTTTAGTCAAGTAAATGGATTTAAGGCGGAATGATGGCATTGAAAGGAGTCTTTGAGAACGCTGCCTGTGTTTGGAGTCAGACTTTTGTTTAACACAGGGAAGATTTTTGGCTCAAATTCTGGGAAATTGGATTTTCTTTCAATATAATCCTTGGCTCGGGATTAAAAGTGCCCTTTTTATTTTTTTATTTTTAAATTAAAGGTCTTTTTTTTTTGTGGTCTTTCTTTCAATCCATCTCTCCTGCGCTTTCTTTTGTTTCTCATAGGTCCTAGGGTTGGAGGACTGGACCTATTTCAGACCACATGCACTGCTCTCCCCTCCCTGCACTCCCCCAATCCTCCATCCTACCACTTCTCACAGTCATCCTTCAGGCTCCTTCCCCACCCCCTCATCTTGTCTTGTCCTGTCCACACTGACATCTGGAGAGGGTGGGAAGGGAGCGCAGGGTAAGGGGATACAGGTAGTTGGTGGGTGCACATTTAGAAATTGAAAGTACAGCTTTTAAAAAAAGGGGGAGAGAGGAAAAATGGGAATGTTATTCCACCCCCTTAGAAATATTTTCTTTAATAGAGCAGATGGGGCCCATCATGTAGTTTAATTTGGCTTCTGATTAATTTGGTTAAAGAGGGGAAAGCTAAGCAGGTCTGCGATTGGTGATGCATAATGGGATTCTGTTTAGTTCTGTTAACGCCTCAAATCGATTCTTGAAACGTACTACTCCCTTAATCTTCTTGGTTGAGGTTGGATTAGAAAGAAGCTTAATTTCCTTTTTGTTTTACTTGTGTGTGCTTTTCTTTGGAGGGGGATTATGTGCAATGTTAATGCTTAAAATGCTAATTAATAAATCATGTTTGCAAATTAAGATTCATTCCCTTCTGACTGGAGTGCAGATTCACTGATGCCTTTGTACCATGTTTATGTTGCCAAAGTAATTGGATTACTTTTGTAGTGAAGAAATTGAAGGTGTAGAAATGAGGGTTCTTCAGGTGGTTTCATTAACAGTATTTCCAGTACTTTCACTCTGGTTACATAACCACTGCATCAACATTCACACTATACAGATTACAGATCTCTGAGAAGTCTGACATATTAAAGAATAGATGGCAAACGGCACACGTGACGGATGCAAAGGAAACCCAACAAAAACTTGGTGATTGTGTGGCACAAACCTTGAAAGTCGGCGCTTGTACTTGGAAATTTCTCGAGTCTGCCTACAAAGCCGAACACAAGCTGGAGTGCGTAAAGAATTTAAAACCTAGACCCTCAAACACACTATGTACACATGAAATACAAAAGGCTTGATCAGAAGTAGCATTTCTGTGGTGCAGTGAGTTTCCTATTATCAGAGGAGTACTTTCACACTTAAGTTGAGAACACATGTGAAAACCTCAAAATATCAGCGTTTTGGTACTGATGCAGAAAACTCTTTTGGTAACCTAACAACCAGATGAGTATGAGGGCTCATGTTCAAGTTTCTGAGGCAAAATTGTTTCTTTACTGAAACTCATTTCCTCAGAGCACTACCCATACTGAGCCAATCGCAACCATGCATCCAACAAGGATAGTTTGTTACGACTGTTTACACTTTCAGGTCACACAGTACTGCGTCACACTATAATCCGATTGGTTGCAGTCCTGTCCTGTCGACATGAACTTTGAATTACCTTTGCTGTAATTTGTGCAAATGAAATCATGTGGACAGAAGCTGGCAGGGAAAGACCATTTACTATCCAGACTATATGAATGTGACGCTCGTGTCCTGGGATGACCCCTCCATCGGCTAATATCTGGAGGAGTTCAGAGCAATGTCTGTGAAATCAACTCCAGAGGCATTTTGGTCCGCTTGATAATGCCCCTTGAGAAGTTTCAGATTGGTATTTTACATTGATGCCAGGTTACACTTTAGATACATGAACATAGCACATAAAATCAGTTTCTAAAAGTATAACATGATTAAATGCATGTCTTACCTGTTCTTAAAGAACAAAAACACTACCTATCCATCATACTACCTTTTCTACATCTGCTTTGAGTAAATAACGGCTATAAATACCGGGTGTTACAGACACACTTCATTTGGCGCCAAAAAAGATTCAAAACCCACAGTGTGTCAACGTGATTCCTATAATTGGAGATCAAAAAGTCAAATTCATATGTTAACCTCTTAAATGTGTGTTCCCATCTTTGGTAAAAATTGGCACGCTCCATCACAGCTGCTGATCCTATTGTTTCTATGCCTAAAAACTTTGAAAACTGTAGATATCTGTTTATAAAGTGCAGGAATTCCCAAGTCTCTCCACATCCATCTGTCAATACTGCAACTGATTGCCATCACCATGGAATAAAGTCTTATTTCACTGGCAGTCAATGCCAGACAGGTTGTTCTTATTAGCATCTTCTTCCCTTGAAACTACAGCAGTCGACCTTTACTCCACTGGTTCGTAGCCTTTCAAGTGAAGCCAGAATTCATAACTATTAACCCTGTACTGCAGTGCTACCACCAAAGGACAATTCCATAACACTCACACTTTTAACACTGCTTTTTCACCACAATCTATGTGAAAAAAAAATAAAGATCTCAATATACATATTAGCAAATAAAAGTTTGGTGTCATGCCCCTTTACCCAACTTTTCTCAAGCTGAGCTCAGTTCCATTTTTCCCAGTTCCACGGGGCATCTTCAGTTCATGGTATCCTCCCCCAAGTAGTCCATCTCAGTGCTGGGTTTGTCTATGTCCATACCCATGCCTATGCTCATATCCATATCCATCATCCCTCCAGCTGAATGCTGGTGAAAATTGGCTGCAATCTGGTCAAAGGTCTTGCCCCGTGTCTCTGGTACCCGGAAAAATGTGAAGATGAGGAAGAACAGAAGAAGAGCTGCGAAGATCAGAAAGACGTATGGCCCACAGAGGTCCTGCGGAAGGACGGGAAGAAGGTCGGATTATAAAGAGTTGAACTTTAAGGAAGAATTGCAAACTTGATGCCACATGCCTCTATTAACCGGTCAAGTAGCGGTTTTCATGTTTTCATCTGTCTGTCCAGACTTAACTTTTCAAATGTGAATAAAAAATTTGATTTTGTAAGGTTGGTGACCTTTAAAGACCAAAATCTAATCAGTTTATCTAAGAGGATAAAAGATTGTCGAGCCAAAAAAGAATGCCAAAACAAAACTGAAGTGGGTGAAAAATGGAAAACCATTTGTGGACATGCACAACATCCATTGTGGATACTCACAGCGACATACTGGAAGCACATGCCAATAATAAAGTTGGCAGTCCAGTTGGAAAAGCCTGCAACAGCCATGGCAGCTGGCCTTGGACCTTGAGAGAACAGCTCAGCTACAAAGAACCAGGGGATGGGACCTGGGCCAACCTCAAAGAAGGCCACAAAACCAAAGATAGAAAGCATGCTGATGTAGCTCATCCATGGAACACTGTCCTATAGAGCAGAAGAAAAGTGGATTCAGATGTTTGTGGAGACTAGAAATTATAGATAAAATACCGAAGTCTGGAATACCATAGTCTGGATTTTATTTGTTTTCCTTTTTTTTTTGGATTGGGGCTTACTTACAAGTAAAGCAAGAGCCACGGTCATGATGACGGCACAGATGCACATTCCACCAAGTCCTAACATGTGGAGCGTCCGTCGACCCGTCCTCTCTACCAGGAAAAGCTGTTAATATGAAGGTAAAGGGAGGATGGGGGGTTAACCTCAGCTGACATTTGGAGCTAAAGCATTTTATTTTGTCAGATTCGTTCTCAAATATGTATAACGTCAGGTCACTATCATGCTAAAACCACATTTACCATATACCTAACTGCAGTTCAGGACTTCTAAAACAGTGTTAACCATAGTTTAGCAGTGATTTTACAAGCATGTGCTCATAAAACAATCTATTGTATCAAATCACAATAGTCAGTCTCAAACCCTGAAGCCGTGGCACTCTTACGGCTAAAGTCGTACATCTTAATCCGCTTGATGACACTGAAACATTTTGACTCCTCTTATCTTGTTTACCCTTTGATAAAAGTGTTAAACAGTAATAGAGTGACTCTGTGACAGGGCGTGAATGTTTATTGTTCCAAATTCAAAAAGTTATTTAAACGCTCCCAAATTGAATTTCAAAAGTGCGATGAAGGCACGTCGGTGCGATTTCTCACCGAGACTACTGTGAAGGCACAGTTCACCACCCCGGCTCCTATGGTGGCATAAACTGGACTCTGGACTCCTGCTTTCATGAAGATACTGGTGGAATAGTAGAAGATCTGCCAGAGGAGTAAACAAATTTAGGTCAATGTTGAACAGCACTGGCTCCTGATTTTAAAGGAGTGCTTGTTTCTGGAACTTTAGGTGAGTCAGTGTAATTTGAAGGACTCACTGCATTAATCCCCGACAGTTGCTGGGAGAGCTGCAGGAGGATGGCGATGATGATGGGCTGGCGGTAAAGCGAAGAGCGAAAGAGTTCGGGTATGGACACCTTCCTCTCCATGTCCATCCTCCGCTTCTCCTCCTTCATCTCTGCCAGCATGTCACCCACCTCCTGTCTGCCTGTTAGCCTCCTCAGGCCTGCAGAAAGTAGAAATGTAGGAAGTTTTTTTTCATGTACAAAAACTCATCTGACATTTTAGCAGCTAATTCCGTAAAGCCAACTGATACTCTGTACGTTGAGTCCTGTAAATGTCTGATGATGTGATGGCATAGACACGTCATCATTAATCCTTACTACAGTAGTTGAAAAAAAACGAAGTGACAGATATCCAGATTTTCTGTTGTATGTAACATGACATCACCCAAACCTTGAGGCATTTTGGCAATTGCAATTTTGGCTTATAAAGCCAGATATCATGAGTGAGGAGTTGATCTGAACGAGGAACTGGAGACACCACACAGCATGTAAAGGCAAGGCCAAATAGCCGTGGTTTAAACTATAACCTGATTTATCTACTATTTAACTCACCGTGAGACTATGATTTACAGAATTAGTTAAAAAATATTTCAAAGTAATTACTGAGGCCATAAACTTGAAAAAAACAGTTTACTGTGGTCAGAGATAAGACTTTTGTAGAATCAGACTTCTTTTTGCAACCAGAGGAGTCTCCCCCTGCTGGCCAAAAGAAAGAATGCAGATTTCAGGCACTTCGAGTTAGTTTCGCTTCTCAGGTATGAACATTAGTCTCCATCAGTTATATATAAGAAAGTATAAAGTAATATGGGTCAAAGTGGAAAAAACCGAAACACAGTAGCTGACTGCCCCTCGCTGAGCTTGGTTGAAGTGAAGGTTTCTTCCTGTTAAAAGGGAGTTTTTCCTTCCCACCGTCACTAAGTGCAGTTTTCTCTTTATTATTGTTGGGTCTTTATCTTACAACATCAAGTGCCTTCAGATGACTGCTGTTGTGATTTTGCGCTATATAAATTAAATTGAATTGAATTGAAATGAAATTGCAAAAAAAAAAAAGATCCTACATTTCCCAAAATGCAACTCAGCAGCTTATTTTATAAGGCCCTATCTGCCTCCTAATGCTAAAAATCCAGTTTATAGTGTAGAATTTAAAATGTAAAACTTCACAACGTCAGTGGCTGTAGTTACATAATAAGAATAATAATAGTAGACCTTAAAATAACGCAGCCCTACTTACCACTCTTGGCGTGGTGCTCCTGACACCGGACGATGTAGAGGAATCGGGGGCTCTCGGGGCAGAAGGGCAGCAGAGCCATCTGAAGTACAGTCGGCACAACAGTTAATCCCAGCAGAACAGGCCATAAGTGCTCACTGCCGAGTAGCGACTCCAACCCGAGGACCTGCACAGGGAGAGGAAGCAAGTTTGAGTGTGTGACATTTCAAAAGATAATATGAT